TATTACTAGAATATTATTAAATAGGGACGCGCAAGCTAAGTTGCAGTTGCTTTAGACAAACATTAGCTTTTTGATATCATTTTAGCTTCTGCTTACTTACATATATATATTGATGAAATTCAATAGTATTAATAAGAAAATTTTCGGAAATTAAAAATTACTTGAAGGTACAGAAATAGATAAAACATTCAATATAAGTCAACATGTTAAATGCAAACATAAAAAAAAAGAAACAAAATTGAAAAACTCATTTCATTATCCTCGACATCTCTTAAAACTGAATGTTCAGCTTTTTCGGTGAAATTCTTGCATATTAAGTGACCAATTACATTTTTTATGTACACTAATGCAGTTAAGCAAATTGTCTCTTGTAGGCAATTGAGTCTTCTACAAATGAAATTAAATTATGTGATTCGTACAATTAATTATCATTTCACATTTCGCTTTCATTCCAGAACTTAATTTTGAAGTAAAAAAAAAAAAGGAAAGAAATGGTCTGTACACATTTAAGCCCATAATGAAGTAAACTCAACGTAAAAATAAAAATTAAAGAGAAAAAACGAGGAAATTGCTACAGCAAAAAAAATAATTTTAGCATCGCGTACATGATGTACAACGAGAATGAAGATTGCTCGTTAGTATCGAAAAACTAAAAAGATAACATAAAAAAAGCAGCAAAATAGAATGCGCGTATTTTAACGCGATATAATATTGCCGTAAGGATTTAACACAAGGCGCAGTTACATTGCAAACTTTGGGGGAACCATGTATTATCAGAAAGCTAACCTCACTTTGGTTTTCAGGTGTATTTTCTAAACAGCTGAATACGAACGTGAAAGCTAACTTTCAGTTATGTGATTGCTTCCCTGAAAGGAAGCAAGGCGTCGTTAGGGCTCTAAAGGTCCAAACATAGTAATGCGTCATTTCATTTTTTGGTTTCGTTTTAAATTTTTACGAGACGGGGGGAATTGGGAGACCATACGGTTCTATATGTGCAATATAAATGAAGAAACAAAGACAAAAAAAAAAAACGTAGAAGACATAAGGACAGATCTGGAAGCCATTTACGTTGTACCAATTTAAGCTTGTGAAATTTTTATATGTATTTTATGAAAAGTAAAAAAAAAGAGCAACAACAACTGCTTGCTATCAATTTAACATAAATTTGTCCAATCAAATTTTTTAAGCAATCCTTTTGTTTCGTTTAGCTGCGTGAGTAAAACCCACTATCGCGCTCCTTTTAAACTCTCTTTTTTTAATTTTTTATTTCATTGATTGATCAAAATCCTTGTTTACTTCTATACTAATTTCTTTTATTGAAGTTTTTCATAAATTTATAGTTTATATTTGTAGTGATTTCTTTATTTTTGTGGGTCTCAATCCCATATATTGGTTGTTTACATTTACATAGAGTTGCCTATCTTTTTTTTTACAAAATAATGTGAGAACGCGACTTCTCATTCTGTTTATCACTTAGAAATAAATTTACCCGAAAAACGAAATAACGCATCAGTGTGTTAGAATCTTTATTTTATACATAGATTAGTGTAAATTCTATTAATCTATTAATGAATAATTTTTATTTTACAAAATCTTAATCGATGGCGATCGCACAGAACGAAAGCAATTGCTAATCAAAAAGATTGATTTTAATGGTTTTATAAAAGCCAATGCAAATAACATAGAAAATCGTATAATCAACAGTCGGCAGTCAGTTCATTAAATAGTAACGGTATTCGTAACAAGAAAGTGCAATAACTTGGCCAATTAATAAAAATTTTTACAGATACAAAAGATATACGCTTTTCTCTTGCATACACCTAATCAGCAACCTTTACAAAAGTTTCTACATCATCATATACCTCCGAAGGAACATTGACGGAAGCAATTAAAAAAAAAAGCACATATAACTAAACAGTATTAAAAACGGTTTTTGTTTTATGATTATTTAAAAGTACACTTAAGAGAAAAATTTAAAATTCATACAAACTTTGAAGAAGCAACCATATTAAATGTGTATTTTCATTGAGTGCCGAGCTAGGTGCATTACGTATGAAAAACCTTATTAAGTCATTTACTTATCAAATTAAGACCAGTCAAAGAGAACCAAAGGTCTTAAAAATCGAACATATAGATAAAACCATGACGACTTCTACCATAAAACGCAGGCGCTCCGCTAATATGACGACATCCGTTGAGGGGGTGCCGTTCTTTAGTAGGAGCCCTTCGGACTCCGATAATTGGATAGCATATCGTGAAGATCATATTAATCCATTTACCCATCGTTTGCATATTAATAGCCATTTAGCCATGATTAAGGTAAGTGCAAACATATATTACAACTATTCTTAATCTAAATAATCTTTAAGATCGTATCAATAATATATTTCTCATATTAAATCGTTGAATCCAATAGAAGTGGGTTGAGTATTTTAAAACAACTCACATATTTGTAATGTATGGTAATATGCCTCTGACACCGCATAAACGAAGCGTGCTCTTGAGAAGAGTCGATGGTGGAATCGGTTCTTTTTGTATGATGAAAATAGGATTGATATTTCAATATCATGTCGAATACAACGAACTTGTACATATCTTATTTCTTAATATTATTAGATCAAGTTCAAAAGTCAGCTAAATTAATTTAGGGCTTGTCTGCCATTAACAACAGTTTTCTAATTATAAATTCTCTTTTGCTTCGTGACGTGTCCATGTGTGCTCACGATGGCAAACTAGCACAATAGTATTCTTAAATTTGGCGACCAATCCTAATTTTTTTGGTGAAAAGCCGCAAATTTCGTAATTATTAGGAAATGAAAAAAGTTAGGATTAAGTCGATATACTCACGTTCGCAGAATGGGAATGAGGCTACATTCAGTCTTCGTTAAAACGTCTGCAACATCCAAAAGGCGGCTTTATAAACACTGCAAAGTATATATATATAAATATTCTTGGTCCCTATCCAATTCTAAACTGATTTAAGTGCGCCCTTCTATAGCTTTGTCTACCCATCTGAGTAATGTTTATGGCAAACTTCCTCCTGGTCGCATTACACTTACACTGACATTAAGACGGCTTAAAATTTGACAAAGGCAGTTGAACTCATTGCGTTGAGGTTAGGATTGAAAATGAGTCAAGTTGGTTAAAGGACACGCCTAGAATATAACATAAGCTGAAAGGTACTGTGGTTTCAAAGGCTGCGGCTAACACAAGAACAACTGCACTAAAGTGGAAAAAATCGACCAAGCAAACCCAATATTAATATTATAGAATATCGAAAGCTAATTTCTTTCGTCAGTTTTTTTTTTTTTTTTTTTTGGGAGCGGTGGATGGTGGGTACAAAAGATTCGGCCTTAGCCGAATATAATTTTCTTGGTTGTTCTTTTTATGTCAGTTTGTAATTATCAAGGTTTCTTGGCCTGCATAAACAAAAGCGAAACTGCATTAGTGTGTAGACGAATATATGTAGCAAAGTACCATTGATTGTTTATATTATATTTAAAAGTCAACAATTTTCCATTGTTTGCAAATATTAGCAATGATCTTGAACAGATATTCCCAAAATTTGCATTACACTTACGAGATATATGTGACTTTAGATGATCTAGTTGCTTATATATTGTAGCACTAGAGAGCTTTGTAAATATACTTTACGTAAATGTTGTACACACTATAAGATCTCCAAAAATTTTTATGGTCTTTAACGTAAGCCGTTGTTTATTACATTTTTTATTGCCGAAGTTCGTTTTCCTAATCAGCATCATAGTTTATGGTATAAGTAATGATTGGGTTGAGACCGTCTGAAATACGCTCGGCACATATGCGCTCTTGAACAGTACTGATTTTATTTAGATAGATCTATCACTTTACCCGTCTGCGTGTTTCTCGTTGTGGGAATGTATGGTCGCAAAAATTGGGATAAAACTTGAGATTTCCTACATATATGTAGTTCGAATGACCAATGCGTGTGTAGCACAACTCTCGGGAAAAAAAATTAAACTAAATGACAGTTTTCTCGAGCGTTTGCTTTATTTCCGTTTCTATGCGCACGTTCCAAAGCGATCGTTTGTATCATAGTGGGTGTGGAGCTTGCTGCCTGATGATCAAAAGAAAAAGAATTGATAAAGCTCAGGTTGCGGATCGGGATGATTTACTGAATACATTATTAGCTGTCAAAGAGACTTGTGTCTTCCAAAAATTGTCGCCGAAAATCGAGCACTTAAGCAGTTGTGTTCAGGACTAAAAATGGGATCGTCCATATTGACGATATTAAAGATTGAGTAAATAAAAAAAAAAGTTGAAGAAACCAAAATCATTCGATTTCCGTAGATGTACTACTATTAAGATGAAAATTGGCATTTTTCTTGATATAGTTTTTGATAAAATATTAAGATAATGTTTGCAAAAGCTATTGAAAAATAATTTAAATATCAGCAAGTTTGAATTTTCTCTTTTCAGATTTATATATTAACAGTTGTTTTGTTGCCCCTACGTCTTATTGGCTGTTTTTTGTCACTGTGCTGCGCATGGGTATTCGCAAAAATTGGCATGCTCGGCCTTTCAGAAGGGCAACTAAATGCAAAACCGTTATTTGGTTGGCGCAAGTGGGTATTTTTTTAAATAAATCCTCGAAATGGATGAACTAGTCTTCATGTTTGCTCATTTTGCAGACGAGTGCAAAAGATAAGTGCGTTCTTTATGCGCATGCTATATGCATGCGGCTCGTTTCATTATATAAGCTATAAAGGGAAATGTGCCGCTGCAAAAGACGCACCTATCTTAGTTGTAGCTCCTCACTCATCATATGTGGATTCGATAATAGTGGCTGCTACTGGGCCCCCAGCTATAGTGGCTAAACAGGAAACATCAAATATTCCACTTCTAGGCAGTAAGTTATTACGATCTCTTTTAACTTTCTTTTTTATTTATCTATACATAGTTTAGGATATATATATATTATTTTAAATTCTTATATTAAAAAGATACTTTTCCGTTTACGTAAAAACAGTGATTTAAAGATTTTTGCAAAAAATTTCTCTGAACATATTTTGCAGCTTATATTGGTTCTTGAAACATATGGCAATAATATCAAATTTTCAAATCTTGAGACCTAAAGCATCTTTCAGCTCTTGGATTTCTTGTGATATCGTAAATCTCACAACTAAACGGATTCGCTGAATAATTTAGAAAGGCGCGCTGATTAATAATACTCGTTCTGGATTAATCAACCTCAGCATCGGTAGAAAATTAACATCATAAGTAATTGCGGAAACTAAAAATCTTATGTGCTTACTTCGCGTCAATTTTTTGGTAATTTTGGTTGAATCCTTCTTTCGACTGAGTTCACATTTAAAATTGATGAAGAGATTATAGTACAAAAAAAACTTGAAGGCCAAATTTAAAATTCTAATAAGTTAAAAATCCCCATATTTTAAAAAGAAAGAGTACATAATCGATGTTTTACTATATATTCGTCGTCGTCGGCTATATTCGTCAGTTTGGCTGATATTATGCTGTAATCTGACGAGAGAAAAATTAAGAGTAGGTCTTCCATTTTAGATAAAAGTTTGAGGACGTAATTGTGATTTCAACCGACCGCCAGATATAGCCAAGTCTATCGCGCTGTATACATTAATCACAAATATGTTATATCCGCCTGAGGTGGCGGAGATTTCTCATGACGTTTCTCATTCTCATTTATAAACGATACGTAACATTAATATTTCTAATACAATCTTTGGCTTGTGTAAAAAAGATGCAAAACACCACGCGTATAATTTTCTCCCGAATATTTTCGATCATACTATGTACGTTGAATAGTGTATTTTTCTTTGAGTCAGGTTGGCCTCGAAGTCATTTTCGACATGCTTATTTTTGCTATATCTCGTGTACGCTTTGTCATTCAAGAGATTCATCATAAATTGTGAACTATTCATGAATACCTGAATTTTTTATATCCAACACCGAAGGACGAGGGCTATATTTATTTTGTCAAAACGTTTATAACGCCAAGAAGGAAGGTTCAGAGATCCCATAAAATGTATATACACATATATAGCGCCAAAAACTAAGCATGTACGTTCGTCCGTCCGTTCCTTGTCTGTGTAATGTACGTGATAAACAATCTCCTTGTCTCAAAAACGAACCTGTTGGCTTCAAATTTGGCAAAAACATTGAAAATTCTTGCATATGAGTTCGTATTAAGAAGTGAACAAATCTGTTAAATGACACGACCACAGTACAACATTTTCGTTTTTTATTCGTTTGTAATTACAAACTATAACAGAAATAACTAAACAAATTTGCACGCATATTCCATGAGTGGTGCTGCAAAACCTGTGGAATTAATCCGCATATCCACAAAAAGTTGCAAGTAATTTTTTTCATTTTTTTAATGTTTTCCTGCTTATAAGGGATAAACAATAAAATATTATTCGAAAATAATTATGGTGGACTCGACGACGTGGAGGGTTCGCTTTTCTGAGCAGTATAATTAATTAGGTATCAAATAAAAGGACTTGGAGAGTAGAATACGACAAGCTAAGTATGTTCATTTTAGATTAAATATCGCGAACATCGCGACGGAATACGTCGGATAACGGCGACGAGGTACGAAAGATTTGGTCGCGTCCGAATATATTTTTCAGCTCGGTTTTTTTTTTTATTTTTTAATAAAAACCTAGATTCTTTGTTGCAGGCGCTATGGGAAAATCTACAGCGAATGTTCGCGTGACACGAATTCCTTTTGCACTTTTCCTTTCGTCGTATATAAAAAAAGCTCTGAAAATGGTTTGTTAATTGTGGATGTGTTGTGTCGACCGATGTGTGTTTGATGCAATTTTTTTTTTGTTTGGATGTGTGATCAGGAATTAGGAGGATATTTGTGAACATTCAACTTTTTCTCTTAATTTCTTCCTTCCAACATTCACAAGTCTTCCAACATTAGATTACAAAGAGATACGGAAGAAAAAAAACATCTTCCTTCGGTGTTGGCTATTAAAATGATTGATATGAGTGCGTGTGATCGATGTTCACGCTACTTTTTATAAATTTTCACGCTTTTGTAGCTGTTAAGGGTAAGTAACACACATCTCCAAATTGATTGCGCAGTCATTTCAAAGTCCTATACGCCACGTTTTAGCCATCTGTCTCAATTGTTGTCATTTTGAGCGTTCCAAACGGAGACAACATTAAGGCTGGTTAAAGTTATATATATACGCGTATATACATGTGCCAAAATGTACACAGGATTTGAATTCAATAGAAAAAAGAGTTGTGTTTTTTAACTGTAATCTTTTTATTGAATCATAATATGTTAGTCTCATAGCTATTCAGCATATCAGGCAAATGGCTTCGACGGGCTTGCTGGCCCGTACGCCCTATTTTATCGAAATTTTCCATGACCATTTTGATTAATGATGATGCCGCTTGGAATCTTCTGCTTTAATGTGATATACATATTTTTTATGTATATATATGTATATTTTATATAGTATGTAGAGTGTATCAATTCTCGCCTGTTCTAACCAGACTTGCATGTGTGGTGCTCGTTTCTCGTAGCGTAATGTCTGCAGGAATATATTCAATATTTATTCTAACGTTTTTAATAACTTAAAGCAAATCTGGAAAAACTTAACAAACGGGTTTGTGAGACATCAACTCAAGTTGACATATGAAAATCGCAGAACTTTTTTCTTAACTGTGATTAGCAGGTAAATGAACCGCTAAGAATCGTTTTTATTTCGCGTTTTTATTTGACGGAATTTCATATCAATATTTTTTACTTATTCATAATTAATTGTTATAAATAAAATATTAGTTCCTCGAGATTTTTTCAGTTACTATTTTTCAGTTACAATTTTTCAGATAATATTCAAGAATTTAAACAATTTATCAACTTACGACAGACATGTTATAATAGACATCACGCTGATAAGTAATGCACGATTTATGTGATCGTGAGAAAAGAAAATAAAAACAAAATAAGCATACGAATATAAGGATTTTTCTAAAATAAAAACAATTAATGATTTTAAGTCCTATAAAAAATTGAAAAATGTATTTATTATAAAAATACTGAGAACATGATTTTTAAATATCTTTGAAATGTTTAGAAATCATAACGTTTGCTCAACCCATTTATGTGCAACGCGAAGATTCGAATTCTCGGCAGAATACAGTGCGTACAATAGTGGAACGAGCTCGCTCAGAAGACGATTGGTCCCATGTTATTATATTTGCCGAAGGTACATGTACAAATCGTAAAGCATTAATTAAATTTAAACCTGGCGCTTTTTATCCGGGTGTGCCTGTGCAACCAGTTTTATTGAAGTACCCCAATAAATATGATACTTTTACTTGGACTTGGGACGGTCCAGGAGCGTGAGTTGTTGTTTATAAACTAATACCGAAATATGAATATTACATATGTTAGAATTATTTTCATGCAATAGATTAAAATTACTATGGTTGACGCTGTCTACTTTTTATAATAATTGCGAAATTGAATATTTACCAGTTTATTATCCTAATGAAGATGAAAAAGCTGACCCCTTTCTATATGCCGAGAATGTGCGAGCTGTTATGGCAAGGTATATTCTCTTTCCGTTTTTTGTTTCGTTCTTCTTTTCTTTCTTTTCGTAATATAACTTTAAACTGAACATGCTGAACTATTAATAGAGCTTTGGGTGTGCCTACATCGGAATATTCGTTTGAAGATGTTGTCATGATGACGAGGGCGCGTAGTTTAAATGTACCCTGTTCGGCCGATATCATTGAAATTGAGAGATGTCTTTTTCATCTAGAGTAAGTAAAAATGATTGTAACCATTTATATTAAATTTTAAGGAAATGGTCTTTTGCAGTTTTTTGAATTCAAGTCGTGTCTTGAAATTAGCGGGGAAATATTCATCTATTCAAAATAGACATAAAATGGATATTACAAGGTTTTCCGAATTTCTTAATATTAGTACAACAAATGCCCATTTACATAAACTATTTGCCAGCTTGGATTATGTTAGTATCCGTATATAAATATATAAGCCTAATTTATTTATTCACTTTCTTCGCAGAAACATACGGGTGCAATTAATTTAAAAACTTTTTTTTTAAGTGCATTATTCTGCATTTTTAAAAGTAGTGATACCATGGAATTTTTAAGAGCCGTATCGACAGTGAGTATTCATAAAGCAAATACCGGAGGGAGTCGATTATTCAATAAACAAAAAATAATAAATAAATAATAATATAAATATGTCACGTTTATCTTAATAGCTTTATGCCTCAGGAAATACGGATCAACTGACCCGTGAACAGTTTTTTGCTATATTAAAACATTGTGATAAATTATCTAAGAAAAAGCTGACGACTTTATATTTAAGAATAGAGGAATTGAAACCGGGAAACAGGATAACATTCGGTAAGTAGGTCTATTTAATTGCAAATATTTGAAACTTTCTTTTCACATATTTCTTTTTTCTGTCAGACGACTTTGAGAACTATACTCGCAATCATGAAGAATATAAATTTTTATTCAAAAAACACGAACATATACAAATGCGCCTTAAAAAATAATACGCAACAGTATCTTTATTATTTAATTTTATTCTATCCTCTTCATGTAATCACAAATATATCTTTATCTGCTTACTATATGAATTAAGAATTTAAATTAAGCTTTAATACGCAATTGTAACAAACAAAAAATCTCTATATTAATGTGACAATTTAAAAAAAAAAAAAAAAAAAAAAAAAAAACTACCTTTCATAAAACGCTTATATACTTAAAATGTATCTATTTTAATTTCTATTCTTTTATAAAGTTTATTTTTACTTAACATAATATAATGGAAATAATTTTCATTATTTGTACTGCTTTCTTTAACTGCGTGTATAAAATTTCTGTAGATAACTTTAAACTTTTATATTCAGGTACCTCACAGTGTGTTGAATTATACAAACACATTCATTTATTTATAATTTACTTTCGTTCTTATTCATTCTTATCAAATGTGATATTTTTTGTTTCTATATATTTAAATCTAATACAGTTTAGGAAATACTAATTGTGTGCAATAAATAAGTCAATTATTATATACAAGGATAGAAAGAAACGAAATATATATAAAACAAATAATAATAGTAACAAAAAAGAGAAAAAAAAAATTAAATAAATTTCCCATTCGGCCAAAATGAATATGAACTTTTTATGAGAACATATAATATTTTTATAAATGTATTTTAAGACTTTGAAAATCTGAAACCACTGCACTGACGATATTTATTAAGCTTTTATTTTTTTATTATTGTTTTCTTTTTTTCGATAAATTTCGTACTTATGATATTTTCAAGTAATTTATTCATTTGTGTTTTTGTTGCGTTAATTTAGAGAGAAATTACATTTTAATCTCAATATTTATTTTTAAATAAAGCAATTTAAAAAAACAAGAAAATATTTTCAGCGTATTGATTTTAATATATTACGGAATAGATTGCCAGTCATCAATGTTCTTAAATTTTGCCGTTTTTGCACGGTTCAAACGTATACTTTCAAAGAGTGTTTTTAAAAAGTTTAAAAAACCAAAACTAAAATTAAAGCATTTCATAAAACCCTTTTTGATGATGATAACTTTTTTTAATAAGTTTTTCGTTCTTAAAAGCTAAAAAATTATATCGTTTTGTATTAAAAATCAGGAAATTTTGATCAATTACTGACTTATTCAAATAAATAAGAACATTATAGCCGGACAAGGCTGCCATTCGATACCATACACCGTCTCGTCTAACACAGTTATTCATTCGTGTTGATTATTATTAGACACAAAAAAATTATCCGTTATTTTCCCGCAAGGGCATACTTTTCATGAAAGACCGCGTATTGGAGTATGCCCAAAAGATTGGGCATGGCGTGATCCAAATTTAGCGAAATTAGTTTCCTCCATAGACTTTGTCTCCGTATAAGGGTCTGCTTTTCATGATAATCCCTATCTACATGTGGACAAATTTTCATTATAAAATATTAAGTTTAAACCTTTTTCTAAAGAGCTTTTTGTGGGGTCCAAAACCCATTCGGTTGAAATTTGGTCCATTTGATTTTTATGTCAAATTACTATCATGAACAAATTTTCATCAGAAAACATTAACAATGAAGCTTTTTTGGCATATAAGGGTCTACATTTCCTGAGAACCTTTTATATGCGATGTTATTCATAAAATAGACCTTCCTGGTCCAAATTCGGTAAGATTGATTTCTTCCCCAATTTACTATTATGAACCAATTTTCAACATGAAATGTTAAAAATTAGATCTTCTTACCATATAAAGATCAGTTTATGTAGAAACAGTTATCCGAGAATCGGTGTAAAAAATTACGCCAGCAGAACGAAGTTTTTCGTACCAATTTAGAATGTCGAAATACTATCACTGAGCGACTTTTCTTGAGTAATTCTAAAAATTGCGCTCTTTTTCGTATAAATTGAGGGGTTGTATGGGAAGTGATCAAAAAAGTAGACCGACCACAACCAATTTTATTAGCGCTTGCCCCTAGGTCAAAGCAAGTCAGTGTACGAAATCTTATCAAAATATCTGATAAATTACGACTTGTAGGTTGAACACAAAAATACGTGGATAGACATCAGATGTACAGACAAGCTTAAATCGGTATAATAAAAGATGGATCTACCTTTATATCTTCTGGGTGTTACGTACATCCGCACAAATATAATATAAATATAAATATTCGTTTCCTATCTGTGAGACAATTGTTTACTATTACACTACAACGGCTCATATATATATATATATATATATATATGCGCTGATTTTGTATCGTAAGTAGGGGTATTAAAAGTTAAGTAAGCCTGAGATGCTGATAGTTGTGATTATTCAACTTTTAGTTCGCTAGGTTTGTTCTTCTTTTTATACTCTACACTATTTGTGGTAGAGGGTGAAGTTTACGCGTACGTATGTAAAATAGAAGAGGGCTTAAGATAATAATATAATAATAATAATCCCACCTTTTATTATACCAATCGATTCACAATCGTTCTCTGAACCAATCTAAGCTTGTCTGTCTGGATTGGATCAAACCACTTTTTCGACCACTTACTGTATAATGCCTTATTTTGAAAAGTCGTTAAGTGAATAACTGTAGGAAGTTAATTGGTGTGGGGTGTTTAATTGTGGGACGCGTTCTACTGTAATGTTTTTACTTTTTGTAGAACTACCTTAAGGTTCGATCTTCTCTATTCGTATAAAATAACGCATGTTTTCCGCTTGAATGTTGATAACACTGTTCTTCCAATGGCAAAGTCTCTGTTGAAGGGTTCTTTGGGTGTTATTTTGATAATCCTAATATTTATATATTTATAAATCAAATATTGTTTCATTTTATTCTTCGCACATTATTCCGTATTGTTCTCAGTTTTATAGCCGTTCAATGACCAGTTCGATGATGCCACACGAACGTTTTTTTAGAGACTCTTTTTAAATGAATATAAATTCTTTGTAAAGACTTTAGACCATAATCGCCTAGCATGGATTCATTTGACTCGGGCAGCCTTTTCGTAGCGCTCGGAGATACGTTAAAGTTTCGAAGAAAATTTCTCTTAGATAATGAGTTTTTTTCGCCGTATTCTAGAAGGTTTAAAGGATATATTAAGACAAGAGATCCGCCTGAGTAGCCGAAGGGGAGGAATCTCGACTAGCAAGTCAATGGTCGTGGGTTCGAATCTCAAGTGCGGTAGAGTTTTTAATAAAAGCCGATAGCCTTAGATGCTAGTGCTTTTAAGAGTTTAGTCTTAGAATTTATTTCTGTGGCGAAATTAATAATAATAATAATAATAATAATTAAGACAAGAATAAACAAATAATGATGAAAAATTTCTTCTTCAACAAAAACTTCTTCGCTCTATCGATTATCACATATGGTTATCATTTGGAAATTAGAAGTTGGAAGCTTAATATGATTACTTCAATAAATGGAAAATCAATATCAATCAACTTAAATGAAACCCATTATATAATTCCATATAAAAAATTCCTCTAGAAACTGCCGCCCACTTTTGTAATACTTTTAGCATCTACTTGGGATTCAAAAATAGTGTTAAATGTAGTTCTTTGCAGGACCGTAAGTTTAAGGCAGCGTATAAGAATTAGTAGAGCAATGTCAAATAGGGGGTTGCCTCTAAACAATTGGAGTAAAGGTTAGTTCAGTGCGTTCTCTAAGGGGAAACATAAGTATTACTACGGGGCGTTGAATGATACCGTTTGTTAGAAAATGTTGTCCCACTCTGCTCGTTGTTATTAGCAGACGTTACGCTGCTGTCGGTTAACATTGGCTGCAATCGATGGTTTTTTGTTTGTTCGAGACGAGTTATTTTTTCGAGATGAAATTCGAAAATTTCCACAGGGATACTTTCAATAATTTCTTCATTCATTTTATTTAGAAATAAACGACTTTTTGATATTGGAAAACTCGTCAAGGAAACTTGATTACTGGACATTGCTCTTTTGATTATAATTTTATCCAATCGCAGTGACATAAACTTCTGAACAACGCTGAGTCATTTCCTTGACAGAAATTTGATCGATGATATTTTGAATAATATTTTTCAGATTATTTTTCTTTAACAAATGTTGAATTTTGTGAAAAACAAAAACTTGCCTTAAAATTTTATTATAAATTGTTTTATAATATTGAGGAAAAGCATTTATCGTAAGTAGCAAATAATTATTGTCATTACTACACCGTCTCACTAATTGCAAGGTCTTGCTAGTTGCAAGCCATCACACATTGGTCTATCGATATCGGAATATGGATATATTCGAAGTGTTTTTGTCGGCACTAAAATCGATATAACAAATGTAGCGTTTCATATTTCGGTGATAAGTATAGGAAGCAATATAAATTCGAATAAGATGATTATTATTTATAGAAAAAAAGAATGAAAGATGATTACGGAACACTAAATATAGTTAATTTTTTTTTTGTTTTCCTTTCTCTCTCAATTAATATATAAAATAAAATTTTCCATTCATCGTTTTCATTTTATGAATAGTTTTGCATCCTGGTGAATATAGTTATTATACACATTCGATTCTTCCTCCTTCTTATCTTGAACGGTAAGATTTAATTTTCAAAGTTATTACGGATTTTATTCATAGTAATGATTGCATTTTCTAACTAAAAAGCATATACACCAATAAAAAAAATGCATTATTATTATTAAAAAAAAAAAAAAAAAAAAAATGATTGCATGCGATTATATGACTGCTTACTTATAATCAGAATCGTTTCGCAAAATATATTCCCCATGTACGAACCTTGGATACCCAACACTGCATTTTTCATATATTCAGGAAAAATGAGTTAACGAACTGTGAACGAAGTGTTAGCTAATGCCAGATGAAGATGAAAATGTTATAAAATTTACGTGATAAAGTTCATCTTTAAAGAAATGTACCTTGTAAAAGGCTGTCTTATCAATGTCTGTCGAAACGTTCGGACATGAAATGGAAATATATTTAATGTTTTAAAGGTTTTTCAATTTATCTATTTATTTATTTATTTATTTTTTTTACGACTATAACTATTCCAACAAAATACAAATCTCTCGCTGATTAAGAGTATGCAAGATCTTTCTGATATTTAATGTTAAGTGTTGCAAACGGGGCGCCTAAAGTGCTGTTCAGTGGTGGAGGCAAATATGTTTGTTTTGTTTTTTATTCCC